GAGTGCGTGGAAGCAAGCCCTTCCACAACTCACTAGCCTTTTGCTCCTTAAGAGCAATTTTTTTCAAAAAAGCTTTTTTGGGGAAAAAAAAAAAAAGAAAAAAGAGAAGTTGACTCTGAGATGTGCTTTGCAAGGATTTCTTGAAGATTGAGCAGTGCTAGAAATAAAACCCGAGGTTTCTCCTACCATGCTTGGGCGATCTGAAAACTTCCAATTCCCTGATCCTACCTCTTTCTATTTTGGTATAAATGCTGATATAATTTGAACAGGTTCCTTTCTCAAATTACTCTTCTATTTTTCTTACTTGTTTTCCAGCATTAGTCAGAATGCTGTCTCTGAGACGGTAGCTGGAGTGCAGCAATTGTTACAGCTTTTCAAAATGGTCCTTACAATGCTGGTGATGGATTACTGCTGTATTGTAACCTTCGGTTCAGGCCTTTTAACCAGCACGCTTGCAAAATGGCAGGAAACTGGAAACTTTTCTCTGTAAATATTCCCCTAGTTTGAAGTTCCACTTTCTTTACTGTGTTTTCAGCTTTAAGGAATAATCATTGCTTCAAAACAGGTTTTTATTTAAGGAGATTGCTTGATAGAACCACGCTGATTTGTCAGCTGCATATTACTTGTTCTTCTGAAGAAAGCTTTCTGAAAGTCACTTTTTTTTTTTTTTTTTTGAAGCATAACATGACATCAGATTGGCTTTCACCAAGCTTACAGTTACTGAATTCTCACAGGGTGTTTAAGTCTTTCTGCCTTTTGGGGTCTTTACAACCACTCATCTGCTTGATTCTTTTATTTAAAATCTTTACCTCTGTGCTTTCAAAGTCTTTAGTTGAAGCATGCTTTTGGTAGTGTAAACATCTGTACTGGAAGGTGCCCTCGGGTTTTCTCCTGGACATCTGGCCGTGTTAGGATAGTCAGAGGAATCTTAAAGTTGTGGATGTGACCATTGCAGATGCATTTTTTTCGACTGCAGATATGATGCTGCTTCTAATATGTGGACAGTTGTACTAGTAGAAATTTAGGTTATCTTGGTTATTCTGCTTTCAGAATTACCGTGCTTACTCACATGTGCATGTAGCTAATCCAAATTTGGAGACGTGTTATGTGACACCGGTAAAACAATCTAGCAAAGACATCACCAAAATACCTCAATTTCCTGTAATGCGAGATATATGTGTGTGTATATATAGACAGTGGTGTCCTGCCTACGGTATGTATCTGAGGCTGAAAGTTCAGCAGTGTCCCTCAATAAATTCTTAAAATTTCAGAGAATGGACTTTTTAAACTATTTACGTGATGGAGTTGAAATGCTGTAATGGTCTTAAACAGTTTCAGCACTGTTTTGCACTAGATGATGGGGCATTCACCATCTGTTACAGAGGCCATCTCTTTTGGTTAAAAGTCCGTCTGTGGTCTATTAAACTCCAGTTTGATTCTCAGGGCAAACAATCACCGAATGTTTATTGGCCTACTGCCTGATGAAACTAATTTCACCCAAAAGCTTGTTTAAAAGCTTAATTCAAGTCTTTATGACAGTGACACCGAATTTCAGTGAAGCTTGGCAGGTTTCTGGGTCATCCAAAATTTATAATCTAGTGTGCAATCAACTAAAATACACACTTGTGATCAGACATTGTGCCTTTACTGAGTAGAGCTTATTATTTAACCTGCTGGTAATTTAAGGACGCCTTTGAATATTAGGCTGTAGATGAAATAGGATGTTTCTGTTGAGCCTTAGGATCTGAAGATACGTAAGGGTTATGAGCCCAGTCCCATTGAGACAATACAATGTATTTGGAGGGTGTTGCATCCAAATACTCACTTACAGTTATTGCTCCCAATAATACTTCCCAAGAGCAAGCTTAAGAAGTAAGTGTGTGTGCTGTGAGCTCTGGCATGCATAGGTGCAGGCTCTGGGGCTGTCAGTAAGGTATGATTCAGCTACCATTTGTAGAAGAGCCTTGACAGAGGCACGGTGGAGCTGTGGCACAGCTCGTGGCAGAGGTGAGCTGGCCTGAGTTTTCCCAGGGGTTGTTCTGCAGAAACTGCTGCAGAAACGTAATGGGTGAGACCCTCAAACTGGTTCTCTGGCATGTTCTTTACCAGGGCTGGTTTGAAGCTCAGCACTTCTTGGCTCCTGCATAATCCTTTGCATTTTCTTCTTTTAGTCCAAACTGGGGGCTAAAATATAGTGCTCAAAGAAACAGGCTTTAGAGTCAGAGGGACTCTGCTCACAATAGATGCAAAGAGCGTGCAGACGTGGTTGCTGATACTTGGTCTAATTTCCAAGTCTGAAAAAATGTGTCATGGTCCATGATCGCTGTGATGGCTTAGCAAGGTAACTAGACTGGCTACCAGAGCTACCCATGCAGTGAAGACTCGAATTCAAAAGCTTTGTGCAGTGCTTTTAAGAAGTTCTGCAAATATATGATGTTTCTTCCAGTAACTCTAGCTGTGACTCCTGGCAGCAGCAAATAAGATGAGTAAGCCCCTTCTCATAGCTAAAGCTGGCTGAAGTTTGTAAGCCTCTGTTTTGATGTTGAACATGTACAATTTTCTTGGCCTTTATAGGAAGCTGTGGGCGCTCCACATGGTGGAAGTTGGTCTAAGTAAGTTAAGAGAAAGTGTTGCAGCTCTGGGCTCCTGAGTTTGGCACCTTGTCCAGTGTAGCTGCTTCCTCTCTTCCGTTAAGCAACGCAGTAGTGGATTTGGGCAAGCATGCCCTAGTTCCAATTTAATTTTAATCTAAAACTCATTTTAAAGCAGCCACATTACTTCTATTGACAATCTGAGAGAATAATCTTATAGGAACACTGTTGCTGGGTTCTGAGAAATATAAGATGATGACTAGGGCTGCAGTGGTTGATATCAGCAGAGTCTGGCTTTCCCATGCTCATCATGTTCTGTAAGGATATGAATTCTAGCAGTACAGGGAGGTCTCTGAGATTAGACCTTGCTGGACAAACCTTTTTGCAGAGAAATGCAGAAGAAATGAACAGGAGAGACTCAGGGTAAGAGGAGATGATGTGATACCGCCAAATTCAGTTGTGGGGATTTGGTTGTCTCACACAAGGATCAACAGGGAGATGCTACGTCCAGTCCTAGATGGTGACTTCAATATCACCCCTGGCTGTGCCGGACATCAGGTCCATATCAGAAGTGCTGATCAGGGTTATGTTGATGTCTTCTCCAGGAAAGGGCTGGATGATCAGCTTGGTAAAATACCAAGGCTTTTTGGCTTGCATCAGTTCTCTCCTCCTTGCTGCATTTACTTAACCCAGGCATATGTGCAAGGAGCATGAGTTTGAAATGTTGTCCATTCCCCCTGAGTTGAGGGGAGAGGGAGCTCAGGGCTTATTCTTGGGAGCAGACTGAAGTCTCTGAACCTTCACTTAACCTGGCTGTCCGTCCCTTTGCCATCAAAAGGGGGCCCCCACCACTGGTTTCTGCCAATCACCCCCCTTGCTATGACCCAACTGTTCACGCAGTCTCTTGGAGAGCTGATCAGGGAACAGATCAAGCTAAAACTACATTTGTCCACCCTCCCATGAGGTTAAGAAGCTGCACAAGGAGACTGGAGCAACATAAGGTCAGCAAGTAAGAGGAGTCTGGTCAGATCTCTGCTGGATTTCAGTGGCGGAGTAGTGGAAACAGCGTGCTCTAGATGCTGTGTGATTTCTTGTTAGCTGTGCATGTCTTCACACTGTTTAATTTCTAGCTGCTGCAGCTGTTACAGCATCTGCTGTCACTTTAGTTCCTGGCTGGCTTTGTGTACTTGGAGGTGCAGGGGACTTTGGGGTGCTGCCATGCTTCCCTGGGGCCCTGCTGCATGAGACGTGGTGACCAGTTCCAGGCAGGGTGCTTGTGCCCGTTTCCATTGCACCAGGTGAAGGCTGCTTCTGTGAACAGGTATTTTTTACCCCCTCTTGGGTAGGAGGAGCAGGAAGGAGGCTTGAGACCTGAAGTCTGATTTCCCTTGAAAGTGTTAATAAAAACATCTGCCCAAAGCTTCTGGTGGAGATGTGCTGGGTTTGGACAGCCAGGCCACACAGATGCATAAATGCTACTGCATGAGTGACACCACGAGGCTTCTCAAATCCCTCTTATTTTTATGCTGATTTCTGAAGTGATTTTTAATCCTTCAGACACATTGGTCTCTAAGCACTTTTTTCAAAGAAGAAAATAACCTAACTCAAGCAGTTTGGGTAATAATAGTACTTAGTGCTTAACAGACACTGTAGAATTAATCCTTCTGGGCCAATAAATTTAAATAAAATTGTGTTGATCTTGGCTTAGGAGTGCAAAATGATGTGAAATCAGCTTTCCTCTGGGTGTGGAGTAGTGGCTTCCTTGCTTATCTGATTACTGTGGCTCTGTCATGGCCAGGGGAGATGGTGTGTGTGGTGTTGGTGAACCCATGAAGCTTGAGTTCAAACTGAGCCCTGTATTTTGGTTCTCTTCCACCATTGCAGCTGCACGGTCAATCAGATGTTGTTCTCCAGGCTTGGTCAGACCTGCTGAGGAGCAGGAACAGGTCTCCTTGGTCCTGAGGAAGAGTCAGGTCAGGAGTAGTTGCTTAGGGCCAGGAGAAGCTGCTGGTGCCCTGTCCTGCTCCCTTCCATGCCCCATCCCTTGGGGTCAATGCAGGTGTCCCACACCGCTGTTGCAGGGCTACCCTGTTACTTGGAGAAGTCTTAAGGCCACCCCAGAATGATTCAGAGAGCTGAGCAGTACAAATAGATCCCCTCTGGAAAAAACTGCTTCAAGCAGGCCAAAGTCCCTTGGGTGGCCATGGCCTTTGCTCAGATGTGTGGGCTCCCAGAGTCAAGTGACGAGCGATGTGCGCGGGCATTGCTGATCTTGGTGTTGCACTTGTGCTAACAGGGAAAAGCAGCACTGAGGTGGAGATGCTTAATAATTCTGTTACACCTTATTATATTTTGTGTGTCAGCTATTTCAGGCTGAAATTGATCATTTGATTTACCTCTTGTCTTCAGGTTACAAGCTGATCGGAAGCCATTCTGGGGTGAAGCTTTGTCGATGGACAAAGGTATGCTTTTTTCTCAGTTCATAAATAAATAAAAAGATAAAGCTAGGGACTTATTCAGGTATTACAACTTACATGTGAAATACCCTTTAAAAATGTGATATTACCTGCAAGAAAACATTCTGTCTTACAGGCTGTAGTTCTGCATTTCAAGCTATTAAAAACTTGCTGCTAAGAGTGAGAACATGACTGTGGCAAAGAGCTGGGAACATCATTTTCTGTTGTTGTTTTTCCCGTTTCTGCTGTCTGCTAAAATATCTCCTACCTACTAAAATATATGGCAGGAGCAGAACGCCACAGGAAAGTGGGAAGGTTTCGTCATAGGTGTGAGGTCTTCTGAAACAAAGATGACAGTCCATCGCTACGTTCAAATGAGAGCACAAGGGCACTCATTAAACCTGTTGTTCTGTGACTAAGGCATCTGATTTGTAACAGGCAATGTTCCTCCACTATTTTGCAACGCTTGCCAAGGTCTAGATAGCAAAGTAACTGTCACTAGGAGTTTTTTAAATTTAGTCTTTGGGGGTGTGTGTATCTACAGCTGTACATAATATACATGTGGGTATATATATGTGTGTGTGTATGCATATATAGGTGGAAAAAATCATCCCCCAAGTCCTATAGTTGTAGGCTATGTAAGCCATTAGCTTTTCAAGTAGTTTGTTTGCAGGCTTAAGACTTTTCCCAGTGGAGGTTCAGAGCCCTATAGAACAAACGTCAGCTGCTTTGGAATGTGTGTTTTAGTTGTCCTCTGCAGGTCCCTGAGAAGCAGTTTGCAGCTCTGAAGTTGAAAGCTGGCCTGTAATGGTATACATTTGAGGAGTAACATTGATTTTAACGCGCTCAAGCCTTCAGCATTTGCAGGATGATAAACCAGGAATCAGCATCTCATCAAAATGCCAGCGCATCTCTAATTCTTGAGCTGTGGCAGCGATCAGTTCCTTGGTCTCTCAGCTCTCTTTTTGCTGCATGATTAACTTTGTTTATTTTTGAAAAGAGCTCTTTGAATGGCAATCACCTAAGTGGGTGGCTGCAGTGAGGTTTTTATTGAAATGGCTGGTATCAATGAACTGTCTTATCAAAAGACAGTTTGTGAACAGCTTAAAGAGCCCACCGTTGTATTGTCATGAATATTTGAGACATACTGATCCCAGTGATGCTTCTGCTGTTTACTCTTGCAAATATTTCTCTTCCATCATTTTTAGCGTCAGAGAAGGCCACAAAATGTTTAAAGAAAAACTTGTCAGACTTCATCAATGCTGTGACTGAGAGAAAACCAGAGAACCTATTTTTATTAAAGAACTGAAATTTAATGCAGCACTGTAAAGCCATTTCACAAAATAAATAGCAGCTCTGTGTGCTTAGATAGTACCATACTATTTTTAGCTTAAGCAGGAATTGAACATAAAGCCTTCTAATAAATTGAGCTGAAATTGGTTACAGGCAGTGGCTTTGACTCAGATTCACACCGATATGCGAGTGTCTTCAGGAAGTTTGTTCCAGATTTGTATCAGTGGAGAGAAGGAGCCAGGGCTACGAGGAATAGTATTAAGCAGCGCTCCACAGTGATATCTCAGATTAAAATGATTGTGTCTGTCGTATTCTGGAAAAGAGCATGAACCCTGCAAATTTAAGGCAGGGTCCAATTTGCCTGTTTTATGAAATCCATAATACAACTTGCTCTCCTAGAACTTGTGAGTCTCCTGAAACCTCTGTCATTTGAGGGATGGGTAGAATAAGTGATATTTTCTATTTTGTTTAATCTTCCAGCAATGCTGTACATATGCTAGGCATTACCTATTCTTTCCCTAGTGCTCAGTGGAAACTTTCTCTTGGATCACTAGGACACTTCAGGTAGAGGAAGATAGATTAAAAGTTATTATGTTATATTTCAAATTTTCTCTGGAGAATGGTAAAGATCCTTTCTCATTTATTATTATTTAACTGAGATAATGAAAGACAGTCTTTGCTCCAAGCAACTTGCATACTAAATAGGAGACAAATTCCGGTGGGAAGGCTGCTGCAGCTCTGTGAAGGAACGTGCAATGTGCTGCTGGAGCCAATGACTGGTGTGAATGAGGGTTTATAAGGTCAGGATATTCGTTTAATTTAGTGCTAGAAGAAATGCTTTACTAGACACATGGAAAGAACTGAGTGTTTCATAGTGCAGCGTTTAAATTGATCCTTGTTACTCTTGATTGGGCTCTTGCAATAATATTTCTTATGGCTTAAGTGGCTTTACCTGCTTTCTTCTGTTGGCTGGTTCAGTTAAAAGGTTCGGTGGAGCACAGTTATGCTTTGGTGCTGCAAGTGAGAAGATGCTGATTGGATAGATCCTTACAGAAACAAGGCACTTATGGTGTCAAGTTTAAAGCTGTGTGAGAGGAAACTTACACAATCAGACTGCATGGTGATATGCCTATTAAAAATTTCTTAAAACAGACTGCATCTGTCATTATTCTGACCTGTTGCATAGCTGTGACCTGGCTCGCTGTACCCATCACAGGTGGCTGAACACCAAATTTACTAGTGATTGAAAACTGCAAATATGCCCAGGGAGCAGACTTGAAATCTTTGCACTTGGCTTGGTTACAGATAATGTGTTTTAACTTTCTCAGTATTTGTGTCTTTTTCTGCTGCCAGTCGATGCTTCGAGGCCGAGGCGGCTGCTACAAGCACACATTTTATGGAATTGAGAGCCATCGCTGCATGGAAGCCACGCCGAGCCTTGCTTGTGCCAACAAATGTGTGTTTTGCTGGAGGTAAGATATTGTTGCAGTTTTGCTTTGGGGGGAGATCACCTAGTCATGTATTACAGTCTTTCTGTGCTATTGCACTTGGGGAGAGGAATCCTGTACTGTGAACAGCAACACAAGGAACAGGGCAATAGCTACGTAAGAGGGATGTCTGTCCACGGTGCTAATCCTGTGCCCTGCTCTACTCAACTGTGTGGGCCAGCTGGGCTTTGTTCTTCACCACTCCGTCCCTGTCCTTATCCTCAAACATAGGGCAGTGTCATTCGTGTGTCCTTTTCCACTTGGAAGTGGGAGGAGGAGGAGGAGTGAGGAAGGGAGCTGTGCTCACCCCTGCCTTCGTGCATCTGCCTGCACTCCTCCTCGGAGAGCTGTGGAGCCCATGGCTTGGGCCTGAGGTAGGTGCATGGGAGACTGTATTTCCTAGAGGCTGAATAAGATGTGATGGCTCCCCAGCGCTACCTTCCCTAGAGCAGGGTCCTCTGCAGCCACATCTTGGGGCCCCAGCAAGTTCAGACCAGCTGGTGGAAGGAGAAATCAGGGAGACAGGAGATGGGCTTTTCTCTATCAACTGCCCACAAGTCCCTCTGCACCCTGCTCTGAAAGGGTTGGCAAGAGCCAGCACTTGACAGCAGTATGGTTCCCTTTTGAGGTCACTGTCTGGGACTGGCTCGTGGTGCTTTGGAGCACATGGACAGGCCCTCATGTTGTGCAGAGCCACCAAGGTGCTAAATATTCTGTTGTTTTCTTTGAAACTGGATCTTTTGTCTTACCTTCACACTGCAATTCACATTCTCAGTGAGAGAAAAGTGATGACTTCATAACTGTTGCCTTTCTAAAACAGTAGTTAATAAATGATTTTCCATTTTAGCTAGTAGAGTGACCCTTTTCTCGAAGGAATTACTTCACTGTCATTTCTCTGAAGGAAATGAGCTTTGCCTAGATCTGAACTGTCAGCTGCTCTAGCACTGCTAACTCACCATAATGCCTGGATTTCAGAGGAAGTTTTTTGCTAGGCTGGGGGAGTGCAGGAGGGGATCGGTGAGACTGAGAAGCTCAGCAGAAATAAAAGCAATGACGTGAAAGTGTACCGAGTGGGAGGACACAGAGGTTATTCTTTGAGCTCTTTTGTCTTCTGCCTTGCTAGCTATTTCAAACCACGGGGGCTGCACGTCCTCTGCTATTTGTCTAGCCTAGGGGGCTGTCTGCCAGCAGCAGCTATTCCATCCCTGAGCCTGGGTGTCCAATGTACCAGTATTTTCATGCTGAAACAGCTGCGTTTCTGAGTACTGTTTCCTGTCTCTCACAGTCATCAAGTTCTAATAATGCAAATGTTTCAAGAGAATATTTAAATGACAGCATCCACACAAAAGTGCTGCTGAAACTTTGAATGCACTTTGACGCTGCCTTCCATATTAGTATTAAGTATAAGCATCAGATACCACTTGTCCTGTTAAGTTTGCGTTTGGGAGCCTATTCCAGAATGTTAATTGGTGCTCTTGATGGGCTTTCATTGTATCCTGGCTTGAAAGGACAGCAACTGGCAAGTATTACCACTTTTCTTCAGAGCCTGTAATAACAATCTGATGACTGCAACAAAAAATGTATTGCTTATTCCTTTTTTCCAAGTATCAGCTAGCAGTAGTGCATTTAATTCTGCAGTGGTGGCTGTACTGCTAGGAGGAAGACCGCCATGCGTATTAGTGTCCCTCTGTCCCTACACAGAAGGTACATCATAAAGAGCAAATAGAAAGCAATAACATCACCAAAACATAGTGTTTTGTTCCTAGTATTGCACTGCAGACCATTTAATGCTGTTCCCCTTCAAAATGACCCAACTCTGGCTTTTCTTAGCAGCAGTATCCCAGCCTGTACCTAGAGTATGGGGCTGAGCTGGAGAGGTCAAACAAGTGTAAATTAGGATAAATGGCAAAGTGTGCTACCTTCCACGTGACTCACCATTCTGGAGGTGTCATCTGGCACTTTGAGAAGAATCCTGGAAACATGTAGCTCTAATCATACTGAGTGCTGGAATGCTTTTTTTGCTAATGGTAACAACCTGAATACAAGCAAATAGCTTTCCAGAGGACTGTGCCGAAAAACTTTCTCATTCACCTTCAGTAGGTGAAATGGGTTGCAGTTGTTGGACTTGTCCATGTGGACAGCAGCTGTCTGCTCATCTCTGACCTCTGGATTTGAAGACTTAAGGTTCAGTTTGCATCTCATCTCACGGCTCATTTTATGTACACCTTAAGCTTGACATAAACCAGAACTGTCACTGAACGAAGCTTTCTCCTCGGCTTTGGCAGCGCTTTCAGACCCTGTGCTTGTGCTGCTACAATCCTTCCCATGGCTGCAAGCTGCGCCAGGTCCGGTTAGTTGGATGAAAGGAGACTTCCTCATCCACTTCTGTCATTACCTGTTACATGTCACTGCAGTTCACAAACATCCAGCAACATCTACACAGTTCTTACTTTAAACCCACCACTCCTTGCAGATGCTTAATCACGTGAGGCTGAATGCAGAATTACAAGCACCAGCGGCTGGGTAGTATAAATATATTACCTTCTTATTAGCAGTTACCATCTGTGCTGTTGGAGACATAGGAAACGATAGTTTTGATCTACAGTTGGCAAAATGTTTTTAATACAGGTTTTATGCTTTGCTGGCCTTGTTGTGCAGCTCTGTGCACTAAGCTGCAGATAAGACTGCTGTGATTTTTTTTTCCTTGATCCCTTTCAGGATTTTGACATTTGTAGAGGCTGCCAGTACTTCCAGCTGCATAACTCACTGCAGCTCTCCGAGGATCACTGAGGAAAAGGCCGAGGAGCCTGTTTGTTTTCTCTTCCTCACTTTGGCAAGAAATGCTGTAGTTCAGCAGCGTTCCTTGGGAATTGGATGTCATTGCAGCTGGCTGGTCATGACTGATGCCTTCTGGCCCCAGACCAGGCATTGCGGGTGGAGCCAACCCCCAAACACTTGGACAGTTGGGCTGCCTTATAAAAGCTGCAGCTTGACTTGTGCTCTAGAGACCTTCCTCCTCCGGGCTGGTGGGTAACCTGCCTGTGCCCCCTGCTGGGCTGGCCGCTGGCCCTTGCTTCCATTCCCCTTGTGGCCGGTGGTTTGTTGGTGCAGGTTAGCGATGTGGCAGGTCGTTCGTTTGTGTTGTTCCCCTGCAAGGCGGTGTTGCAATAAAAGCAAGAGGGGGTAAAAAAAAATACAAAACCAAACCCAACAAATTTTAGTTACAGCAACATCCCTAACTTATAACTGTCCCTACAGAAATAGTCCGTCGCTATCCATTATTGCACTCAGTTGGTCTCGCTGTTTGTAGTGCCTCTTTAGCTTAATTGTCTAAATGGAAACTGTGCAAATGACCGAATCCCTTAATCAATTAGAGCAAGTGTGGGGACTGAGGCTTTCTGACACTGTACTGCGGCACAGCCACCAGGCAAACCTGATTTGATTATGTCCTCTGGCTGAGTGTCTAAAACACGATCAATTTTTGTGGAGCGATGGAACAGCTAAATAAGATTTAAATTAATAGGCTTTATTTTGCATCTGAGGAAGAGGCAAACCAGACAGAATAAAATATCCCATAAAGAAATGTGTTCATATTTCTTCTTTTGTAGCTTTATATTGTTTGTACCTGTACTTGAAGGCTCCAGCTTGAACTTGTACAGTAGGCAACAGCTGAAACTGTTTGGACTGTCTGCATGTACGTGGCCAAAAGCCAGTGATTACAGTAAGCCCTGCAAAATGAAGAGATTAAAAAGAAAATAATATTAATCTCCTACAGGAGAGGTGCTTGAAAACTGAAAACAGATCAAAACAAAGTTTATTTTTATTAAAGGACTACTCCAGAGGTGAAGTTTGTCAGGGAAATGTGAAATACGATATCAAAGTTGCTGACAGCAATGCAGATTTGTAAAATAAGTTTGGAACCTGAGCCTGGAAGTTCAGGAAGCCTTTTGGCATCTCCAGTCACCTGTTCTTGTTTCAACAGAGCGAGACTCTTCTCCCAGCATAAGTCTAATTCTCCTGTTTTTGTTTACAGAATTGTAGTAGTATATGGTGACCTGTTCACCCTTTTCAGTGTTATTTTTTTCACTGGTTTATTTACCTGGAGGTAACCGTGTAAATGAAAGGGGAGGGGCAGATGGCAGAATATAGCTGGCTCATCCTTGGTAAAACCTGAACCAAGTAATTTCTGAACACAATTGTTTTTACTTTCGATAGAGAATGTTTCTCTCCGTGCCTTTATGTGCTGCTCTGCCAGCGCTGCAGTCACCTGTTGGGCATTTTTCTTGTGGAAACACTTTGGTGGGGTCCATCGGGTGAGGTGGGAGCAAGCCTCTGGGTCTCGCTTGGCTGGGGGCTTCTGTGCTGGCACACGGGAGCGTTGGGGCTCTGCTGAGGCACTGTCAGTGCCGTTGGTGCTTGTTGTTAGAGCAGGATGGAGTTGGATCAGTTGCTCTGTGTGGTACAAAAGACCGCACTGCTAAGCGTGGTCCTTGGTAATGGTTAGATGCTGGTTTGCCAAATCCAGGCATGGGAGCATAGCGGTAAGGTTCCTGTCAGTGACCTTGAGGTCAATAAAGCCCCAGTGGGGCATCTACTGTGGAGGGTTCCCAGCTCACCCTGTGCAGTGAGGAGCATTTTCATTGCTATTGTTATGTAAAAGGCTCACAGGGGAACAAAAAATAGCCTGCCAGCACTTCCTGGGGCTGAAGTCTGTGCTTTTCATCTCACAGCCGCGTGCATTTTTGTGTTCTTGGACTTGTTACTGGCTTTTGTAGCTGCCATGGCCAATCTGTGTATTTATGGCATTAGTGGTGACTGTAACCAGATCACTGGCTAATGGAATGCTTCTGTATGTCTTGTTAGGTATCGTAGGTGACTTGGTAGCCAGTTACAGCAATGAGTAACTTGATGGAGCGATCGTGGGCTCTGAAAGTGACCCTGCACATCCTGAGGGCTGCCTTTGGGATGGTTTCTTATGCTGTGCT